GGGGAGGAGGAGATTTAATTTACTTGGAAGTGTCTGTAATAACCATGGAGATAAAGTGAACGCGTATTAATGGCATATATTCCCTCAGTTGGATCATTGTTATCTTTAGCATATTGCTGAAAATGATGTAATTGATTGATACAGGCAGGCTTGGCTTGTGAATTGAAAAAAATCTGGTAGCATTTGTTTTGATGTTTTCCAAAAATTGAATTTTTGAGAAAAAATTACTCCATCCAGTTCAATTTAGATAATGCATTTTACTTATTAGTTTATTCCAAAATGAATTACACATTTCTATAATTGAAAATAATTAAACTTTAAACCCTTCATTTTACCCTTAATAAAAAAATTTTACAACCATACAAATGTCATGACCTCACAAAGCCTTTACCTCTTAAGCTTTTAACACTACAAATTTTAGAAGTCTTTTTTTTAAACTCCTTACCGAATCAAATTACCTCATCTAAGAAACATACGGTAGTTGTTTGACCTATTTATGACTATGACAAAGAAACATACGGTTGAACTTTTCTTTGATAATTTTTCAGATACTCAAAAAGTCTTCTTTTTTTTCCGCCAAAAAGACTGGAGTTTGGATTATTTTTTGCATAAAAGCGCTAATAATTACTTTCCAAAAAAAAAAAAAAAAAAACTGGGTTGCAAACTGAAGTCTTGGAAAAAATTCAAACAAGCACGTAAAATCTTTCTTATACGCAGCCATTGACTCATTGCAAAAAGGAATCTTATATGGGGCTGGTTGACCACTTGAACTCAAAAGAGTTGAGCTTCCTCTCTCCTGCATCTCATAGCAGACAACCTTAGCAAATTTGTATTTCACCATATAGAAAAGGATTCCGCCAGAAGATAATTACCTACAACTAACAGACCATGACAGTAGTTTTATGTTATATATTCTCTAACCCCCACGGACAAGGTAGCAGAACTTCTCCGAGTAGCTGAGATGCTATAATGAGCCAGACAGAAAATTTAACTTCCTAAATATTGACCTCAGACAGCAGCTGAACTTGTAAGGTTGCGTAAGATGCTCTGACCAGCTATAACGACTTCCTTAATATCTAGACACTTGCTTCTGAGTAATGGAGCTGAACATACCAACGGAGTAGATTCAGCCACAGCACACTTGTTTCTTGTGTTAGTATCCATGAGAAGCCTTCAAGAGTGCAGTGTGCCCAAGTTCTTCATAGTCGTGGTGATTTAGTTCATGAGTTTCTGGCTGCTAAATTATAGAGTGCAAGAAGATTCCAAGTCTTAGTTCTATATACGAATAACTGAAGCACTAGACAAATCACAGCTTCCGTGGTAATTAAGCTCCACAAAGAAACCTCCTCCTTCTCCCCTTGAAAGTCGTCCAGGATTCACACAAATGCACTTTACTTCTTCCTCTTCACTTCTTTCCCCAAGGGAGATCACCTGCAGGCAGATGAAATTCTTAATAAATTGATTGTGTGAATATCTTCATGATCAAGCGCATTCATGTCTGCTCAACAGAGTTAGTTGCATTAGTTCCATATTGCTGAAATAATAGAAGCAAAGTTTTGATGTGGAAATTAGCAAGTCATACTACCCTAACAAAATGAGCCAAGTCCGAGGGTAAGATGAGTATATCTGGGACAGTTGACATCTGAAGAGCTTCTGGAGCAAGAGAATAATCAATGGGTATGCCTTCAGCTGGTGGATATAGAGGATAGAAGCTGTTGCATTTAGTTTGCAAAAAAAGAAAAACATTCAGCATAAATAGGGTTAATTGAGCTTTCTGCATTAACAAGAGGAATTGCAAACAGTGCCAACTGAAACATGCCT